CTTGGTTCTCCATTGTGTTTTTTTTTTTTTTTTTTTTTTAGTACCAGGATGGAATTTGGGTCCTTGCACTTGAGAAGCAGTCATCAGAAACATTATATTCTTGGAACACTAGAAATCACTCCATAGATGTGAAGAAGAAAGAGCCAATAGTTTCCCCTCACAGTACCTCCCACATACCTCCCCTAAAGTAATTGCTTCTAGCGGTTTGGTAGCTATTCTTCTAGGTCTTTCTGTCATGCAGCTTATGTGCATGTATATGTAGGGTTGAACCCAGTTGAGCCAGAGACTCAAATATCTTCAAGCATGTCCTCACAGTTACTATAAATGTGTGAATGCACCAAGGAAAGGGAGGGACTGGTTAACCGGGAAGGCCTTTACCTGTCAGAGCATTCCTGTTCAAAAGCAGAGCCCTGTGCTGGCCAGACAGGAGTCCCTTGGGAAGAGTGTTATGGTGCTCTCCTGTTTCCTTTCCTCCCTTCTCGCCTCTTATACACATGCAGAATGCGAATAATCAAAGATTTATTTGGCTCATTAATGAGGGAACCAGTATGACGGAAGAGCTGGTTCCAAGAGCATTTGGGAGCTGAGTGGATGTAGACGTTGAAAGAGCACTGGAGTAATATTGCTGGACTACATACAAAATGAGTTCATGTCCCACAGAACACCTTGGGAGTTGGCTGCATAGATGTCTCTGCAAATAAAACTCTACAAGTTAACCTGTAATTTCACAAAATTTGGGTCCTAATTACAGTCAACTGCAGGTCAAACAATGATACTTGAATATCTTTGGGAGAATTTATTAAAGTGTTTCAATTTGCATTAAAAGGACTTACAGTTCTTCATTTGCCTTATTTATTTACAGTTTTGGGTAATTTTTCTTAAATGTGAGAAAGACCTGTTATGTGTAATAATGCAAGAGTGATGAAAGTAGGAAGCAGATGCTGGAATAGTGTGGTGTCCTAAACTAGGAAATCGAAACTTTTTTTAATCAACAAGTGTTTATTGAGCACCTACTATATGCCACGAAGTGGATTTATTTTGATTCTGAGGGTGTGGTGCCTTCCATTCCCCTAGGAGGCTGGCTGCCTTCTCCAGCGATTGATTGTATTAGAGGACCACTTGGTAGGCTGCTGTCCTGCAGGTGACACGTGTGCATTGTACTTCTTTTTCAGTCCTGGTGTAGCTGTCTTTGCCTGAATAGAACAGGGGTATTTTGAGGAAGCTTTATGGGTGATGTTTGTGTTGCTCTCCTTTTGAAAACTATTGTTATATTGTGACCTTTTTTTTCCTTTCCCATATTGGAAATTGAACCCATGGCCTCAAGCACTCAACCATTGAATTATATCCTCAGCTTTTTAAAAATTTTACTTTGAGACAAGGTCTCGCTAAGTTGACCAGGCCAGCCACCAATTTGTGATCCTCCTGCCTTGGCCTCCTGAGTAGCAGGGATTAGAGAAAGGTGTGTGCCACCACAAGTGGAGGAACATCTTTTTTTTTAATTGAATGAATAAACAGTAAAAAGATTTTAACTAGCATTTAAAAAATTTCCACACATACCCTTTTTTGCCTGCCCCACCTCTGTAATGCTTAAACTACAACAATGCTGTGATCACATCAATAGCAAGAATTATGTACAGTTATTTATTTTATGCAACTGAGAATTTATAAAACTAGGCTTACTCTTCCTAATTGCTACCTTAGGTTTGCCTCTTGCCACATATGCTGCAAAAGTTGTTATTTATAGTGGTATATGATCTGCATGGTAAAGATGCATGATTAAAAGACTATGGACTTTGAAAAAAATGTTTTGAATGTGAAAATAGGCTTTCATTATCTTGTTGGAGGTCATGGTGATAATAAGTAATAAAGGAGAAAAATGTATATGCGCTTAACTTGTACTTAAGCTATTTGAATTGAGTCAACAGTTAAAATGAGCAGCCACATGGATGTGCATTTAAGTTCTTTTCAGTGTTACTTTATTTAGGCAGCCATTTTGTGTAAATGCTTTCACAAAGCAGGGATTTGTGATTGCAGTGCACCTAAGCAGCCATAGAATTTGTAACTTGATCACAGGATATACATTATAGAACCGGGGAGAAATTGGGAAATAACATGATACAATTGCTACATTGTATTTTTCTTTTTATTAGTGTGCCGCTCCAACAAAAGCCCTTGGGTCTGTTTGACTTGCTCAAGTGTCCACTGTGGAAGGTAGGTGACATATTTACTACCTCACTCTTCTAGTTACTTTTCAAAATTTGCCTTTAAGCTCTATGTCAAAGTTTATTGGCTTACTTCGTACTTTAGTCATAGTGTATAATTCTCTGTAGGGTTTTGGTGTTCAGTTGTATTACTTTGTCCTTTGATGCAGCTGGGGCAAATCTAGGGAAATAAACATATCCTATTGATACTTAGAAGAATTAATTTGGTGATCAAAACAACCTACTGGTAATATCGGGTTAGAAAAATAAAATAAGGAAACTTTTAAATCTTGAACTGAAAGTTTACCTAATGGCTGTTTTCTAAGTCTTTTAGTAGGGCAAAATGGATGCGGTTGTCATAAGTAGGAGTATAATTGAAGGTCATGTTCGCATCAATGAACTTCAGTAGTTAATAACTTGGGCAGGCTTGTCTCACCACTTACCTACTCCAGCCCCCACCTTCACTGACTTTTGAATCAGATGTGAGATGGTTCTGGAGGGTTAAAAATGCCCCAAATAAATATTTACACATAAAGGAATTCATTATTTATTCTTGCCTAAGATGTACAAAATATTTCTCTGTTCCATTACAACATTTTGCTTTCCATGGACTTAATAACATCTCCCATCCCACCCTACCCATTTTATTCCCAAGCATTACTTTCCAGTTGTTGGCTTCAAAATGATACTATTGAAATACTTCAGGAACTCTTTCCTTCTAACACAGACTCAAATAGCAACCTCAGTTTCTTTCACCCATAGTAGCACATTTATTTCTGTTGTTCTTTTAACAAAGAAGATCTACTTTCATTTATATTATTATTATTATTATTATTATTATTAATTATTTGTACCAGGGGTCAAACTCGGGACCTTGCACTTGCGAAGCAGGCGGTGGACCCCAGAGCTAAATCCCTGGCCCTACTTTCATTTACTATAAAAGTTAATAACAGCAAGACAGTATGAAATCATACTAAATTATAGGCTGTGGTTTTTTTTTTTTTTTTTTTTTAGTACCAGGATGGAATTTGGGTCCTTGCACTTGAGAAGCAGTCATCAGAAACATTATATTCTTGGAACACTAGAAATCACTCCATAGATGTGAAGAAGAAAGAGCCAATAGTTTCCCCTCACAGTACCTCCCACATACCTCCCCTAAAGTAATTGCTTCTAGCGGTTTGGTAGCTATTCTTCTAGGTCTTTCTGTCATGCAGCTTATGTGCATGTATATGTAGGGTTGAACCCAGTTGAGCCAGAGACTCAAATATCTTCAAGCATGTCCTCACAGTTACTATAAATGTGTGAATGCACCAAGGAAAGGGAGGGACTGGTTAACCGGGAAGGCCTTTACCTGTCAGAGCATTCCTGTTCAAAAGCAGAGCCCTGTGCTGGCCAGACAGGAGTCCCTTGGGAAGAGTGTTATGGTGCTCTCCTGTTTCCTTTCCTCCCTTCTCGCCTCTTATACACATGCAGAATGCGAATAATCAAAGATTTATTTGGCTCATTAATGAGGGAACCAGTATGACGGAAGAGCTGGTTCCAAGAGCATTTGGGAGCTGAGTGGATGTAGACGTTGAAAGAGCACTGGAGTAATATTGCTGGACTACATACAAAATGAGTTCATGTCCCACAGAACACCTTGGGAGTTGGCTGCATAGATGTCTCTGCAAATAAAACTCTACAAGTTAACCTGTAATTTCACAAAATTTGGGTCCTAATTACAGTCAACTGCAGGTCAAACAATGATACTTGAATATCTTTGGGAGAATTTATTAAAGTGTTTCAATTTGCATTAAAAGGACTTACAGTTCTTCATTTGCCTTATTTATTTACAGTTTTGGGTAATTTTTCTTAAATGTGAGAAAGACCTGTTATGTGTAATAATGCAAGAGTGATGAAAGTAGGAAGCAGATGCTGGAATAGTGTGGTGTCCTAAACTAGGAAATCGAAACTTTTTTTAATCAACAAGTGTTTATTGAGCACCTACTATATGCCACGAAGTGGATTTATTTTGATTCTGAGGGTGTGGTGCCTTCCATTCCCCTAGGAGGCTGGCTGCCTTCTCCAGCGATTGATTGTATTAGAGGACCACTTGGTAGGCTGCTGTCCTGCAGGTGACACGTGTGCATTGTACTTCTTTTTCAGTCCTGGTGTAGCTGTCTTTGCCTGAATAGAACAGGGGTATTTTGAGGAAGCTTTATGGGTGATGTTTGTGTTGCTCTCCTTTTGAAAACTATTGTTATATTGTGACCTTTTTTTTCCTTTCCCATATTGGAAATTGAACCCATGGCCTCAAGCACTCAACCATTGAATTATATCCTCAGCTTTTTAAAAATTTTACTTTGAGACAAGGTCTCGCTAAGTTGACCAGGCCAGCCACCAATTTGTGATCCTCCTGCCTTGGCCTCCTGAGTAGCAGGGATTAGAGAAAGGTGTGTGCCACCACAAGTGGAGGAACATCTTTTTTTTTAATTGAATGAATAAACAGTAAAAAGATTTTAACTAGCATTTAAAAAATTTCCACACATACCCTTTTTTGCCTGCCCCACCTCTGTAATGCTTAAACTACAACAATGCTGTGATCACATCAATAGCAAGAATTATGTACAGTTATTTATTTTATGCAACTGAGAATTTATAAAACTAGGCTTACTCTTCCTAATTGCTACCTTAGGTTTGCCTCTTGCCACATATGCTGCAAAAGTTGTTATTTATAGTGGTATATGATCTGCATGGTAAAGATGCATGATTAAAAGACTATGGACTTTGAAAAAAATGTTTTGAATGTGAAAATAGGCTTTCATTATCTTGTTGGAGGTCATGGTGATAATAAGTAATAAAGGAGAAAAATGTATATGCGCTTAACTTGTACTTAAGCTATTTGAATTGAGTCAACAGTTAAAATGAGCAGCCACATGGATGTGCATTTAAGTTCTTTTCAGTGTTACTTTATTTAGGCAGCCATTTTGTGTAAATGCTTTCACAAAGCAGGGATTTGTGATTGCAGTGCACCTAAGCAGCCATAGAATTTGTAACTTGATCACAGGATATACATTATAGAACCGGGGAGAAATTGGGAAATAACATGATACAATTGCTACATTGTATTTTTCTTTTTATTAGTGTGCCGCTCCAACAAAAGCCCTTGGGTCTGTTTGACTTGCTCAAGTGTCCACTGTGGAAGGTAGGTGACATATTTACTACCTCACTCTTCTAGTTACTTTTCAAAATTTGCCTTTAAGCTCTATGTCAAAGTTTATTGGCTTACTTCGTACTTTAGTCATAGTGTATAATTCTCTGTAGGGTTTTGGTGTTCAGTTGTATTACTTTGTCCTTTGATGCAGCTGGGGCAAATCTAGGGAAATAAACATATCCTATTGATACTTAGAAGAATTAATTTGGTGATCAAAACAACCTACTGGTAATATCGGGTTAGAAAAATAAAATAAGGAAACTTTTAAATCTTGAACTGAAAGTTTACCTAATGGCTGTTTTCTAAGTCTTTTAGTAGGGCAAAATGGATGCGGTTGTCATAAGTAGGAGTATAATTGAAGGTCATGTTCGCATCAATGAACTTCAGTAGTTAATAACTTGGGCAGGCTTGTCTCACCACTTACCTACTCCAGCCCCCACCTTCACTGACTTTTGAATCAGATGTGAGATGGTTCTGGAGGGTTAAAAATGCCCCAAATAAATATTTACACATAAAGGAATTCATTATTTATTCTTGCCTAAGATGTACAAAATATTTCTCTGTTCCATTACAACATTTTGCTTTCCATGGACTTAATAACATCTCCCATCCCACCCTACCCATTTTATTCCCAAGCATTACTTTCCAGTTGTTGGCTTCAAAATGATACTATTGAAATACTTCAGGAACTCTTTCCTTCTAACACAGACTCAAATAGCAACCTCAGTTTCTTTCACCCATAGTAGCACATTTATTTCTGTTGTTCTTTTAACAAAGAAGATCTACTTTCATTTATATTATTATTATTATTATTATTATTATTAATTATTTGTACCAGGGGTCAAACTCGGGACCTTGCACTTGCGAAGCAGGCGGTGGACCCCAGAGCTAAATCCCTGGCCCTACTTTCATTTACTATAAAAGTTAATAACAGCAAGACAGTATGAAATCATACTAAATTATAGGCTGAAATCTATGTTGTACTTGTCTGAAAAATTTCTCCATTGTCATGTAAAAATCTTCATTGTACAAAGAGATCATTTGGTTCAGTTAACTTTTGAGTTTTCACATTTTGAGTCCTGGAATCCATTATTCCTTCCATGTACACCTAAGAGTACCTTTGGAAAATGTTAACTGTTTATCTTTTCTTTTCTTTTTTTTGGTACCAGGGATCGAACTCGGGTCCTTGTGCTTGCAAAGCAGGCAGCGGAACCATTGAGCTAAATCCTCGGCGGTTTTTTTTTCTTTGTTTGTTTGGTTTTTTTTGAGACAGGGTCTCACTATGTAGTTGAGACTGACCTGGAACTCACTATGTAGCCCAGGCTGGTCTCGAACTCACAGCGATTCTCCTGCCCAGCTTCCCAAGTGCTGAGATTACAGGTGTGCACCACCATGCCTGGCCTATTTATCTTAATTGTGGCTGTTGTGGTCTTAAATCTCTAGGATTGGGGGAACCTGAAAATACTTTGTACAGTACAGATAACTTAATTAAAGAAAAGTAGAAGCATTTAAATTCTGCAATTGAAGATATAGATTCCTCTTCTAGATTTTGAGAGGTGAGAATAAAATGCAATAAAATATATAGTTCTGTCCTCCAGCTGTCTCATAGTGTTCTACATCCTAAATCCTGAAGATCACAGGCTAATGAGAAGATCTCAAACATTTCTGAGAAAATTTTAAAGGGATTAGTGTTCCTAATAGCAAGCAACAAGCTGGGCATGGTGGCATACGTGTATAATCCCAGCCCTTGGGAGGCTGAGGCAGGAGATTGCCACAAGTTCGGGGCCAACCTCAGCTACATAGTAAGCTCAAGGACAGCCTGAACTATGCAGCAACATCCAAAAAACCAGAAACAAACAAACAAAAACAAGCAACAAACAATTCTCTAGTTAGGTTTTAGAAAAACAAATTGAAAAATTTCTAGACTGTAGGTAAACTGTTTTCATTTGCAGGCAAGGTTAAATTTAGAAGTTTGACTTAGTTTCAGAGAAATATGATTAAGCAGACCCAAAATATAATTGAGGCAGATTGAACTGGAATATTCATTTTACATAATGATTGTTTATTTTTTTAATCATGTAATTCCAGGTGCTGATTGCCGAATTTATTGATTTTTCAGTAATTTTAGACTATTTGCTTACTTAGTCTTAAATTTAATATATTTTTCAACTAGGAAACATAGATTATCAATAGCATATTTGAGTTAATATTCTGAAGATCTTATAACACTGATGTGTTTATGTGTTTAAGTTACTTCTCAGATTTTTGAGATTGTTAGAATCTGTAGCATATATAATGAAACTTTTCCTCTTGTAATGTAGACCAAAATATCTACAGTAGTTAAAATCTAAAACTAGGTAGATAAACAATTTCCTTTTATGTAATCTAGTTTATACAGAACTATTGATGTCTAACTGATATATTTGAGTATTAACCAAAGCACTGTTAACCTTAATGTCATTGGTAAGCATACTTCTTACTTTATCAGTGACAGTTATGGGACCCATCTAAACTTACAGTGCATTGGGAGACTACAGTATTGCAACTAAATGAATTGTGTATATACTATGTGAGAATGACTGGTGTTCAAAGACTTGAAAGTGGTAATGCCATTTTTTTGTGTGTTTTTTGGTTTTTGGTTTTTTTGAGACAGGGTCTCACCGTGTAGTTGAGACTGACCTGGAACTCACTATGTAGCCCAGGTTGGTCTCAAACTCACAGCAGTCCTCCTGTCAGCCTCCCGAGTGCTGGGATTACAGGCGTGCGCCACCACGCCCGGCAGTAATGCCATTTATTATTATTAATTGGTTTTATAGTCTCTTTGATTCTGAAAGCACTCTTCTTCATAAACGTTACCATTTTTCATGGTATGCGATGTGAGTAAGTTATAAAAATAGAAAGTAATTAGATATTGAATAATTAGATATATATCATAAGATTATCTTTTTTAATTAAATAGGGAGTATCTTTTTACCTATCATGTTATTTCCAGATATATGTTGATGTGTCTACTTATGTTTGGATTCTGAATTAAAAAGTATAAAAAGAAAAGTGCTAACAAAATAGTTGCATTCATTTGTTTTGAGCTATGGAATAGTCACTTGAGAACCCATGAGACACATGTACTGTACTCTGCTAATATCTCCACTTGTAGATGGGAAGGGATGATTAACTCACCTGAGCTTGAATGAGCAGGATATCGCAAAGCCTTTTTATTTGTTTGTTTGTTTTTTGAGACAGGATCTCTCTATGTATTTGAGACTGCTCTGAAACTCACTGTGTAGCCCAGGCTGGTCTCAAACTCACAGCGATCCTCCTGCCTCAGCCTCCCAAGCTGGGATTACAGGCATGTGCCACAACTCCTGGATTTTAGCTTATACTCTCAATCATTATTTTACTTTAAAATTCATAATCATCTACATTTGGGTACAGAGGACTCATGTGTACCCAATTTTTAGTTGTGTTTAAAGTACACTGACAAAATAAGAAAGGAGCATGATTAAATCCTGAGTTGAGGATAACAGTGCCTTGAATGTGTCCTAGGGGTACAGAACTGGGCTTGAAATTGATCCTCCCTACTTATTGCACCTGTCTTACTTTCCTGTATCTGTCTTATTTTTCCAAAGGTAAGTGCTGTTCCATGAGGTACACTTAATGTGCCTCATGATGAAAATATCATCTCACCCCTCTCAGCCTGTTATTTTGGTGCCTTTTGATAACCATTTGTTTTGGCTGTTGGAGTTTTCAGGTAGGTCCAGTCTTCTACCATTGGTTGTATTCAAGGAGCTGGGAAGTTTTGTGTTGTAAGGGTCTTCACAGTAGCGGTCAGTGACAGCACTGTGAGTCTTTATGTAAAGGTGTAGATGTATCTGGGTATGTACCATGTGCTTATGAATCCTTGATTTGATTTCTTTTTGCTTGCAAATCTGAGATGGAAAGTGTAACAAGATTTCTTTGAACATAATTAACCTTTTATTATATTTGCCTGTATAGTGAAATAAGTTATTTATCATCTTAAGATAATTTGTGCCTTGTCTGAATTGCTGCATAACAAATGTGTTTCCATGAGTGAAACTGATTATTCAGGCATTCAAATAAAAGATAAGAAAGATTGAAAATTATTGTATGTCCAAATCATTCATGTTTTAGATGAAGCAGCAACTCAAGCAAAGTCCTGTGGAAAGTGGTTGAGTAATTTAATTTACACAGCTTCTATTTGATGATACATTAAGTTTCAGTTAGCAGTCTGAGAAACCTTAAAAAAAAGAGAGAGAAAAAGTTAGAAAAAAGAGCAAAAACATCAGCCTAGGTATTTATAAGTGGTAATATCAACTGCATTGAAACTGATTTGAATAGATAGTGCCTTTTCTTTCCTGGCTCTAGTCTAAGTGTAATTAAAAGTTGACTGTCATATTTAATTGTAAAATTGAGTATATTTTAAGTAGGTAGCTTAATAAAGCACTAAATAAATGCCCTTGTAGTTCTTTCTCATTAACGCAGTTTTATTGCCTCTTACTACTTTAATTTCTTTTTTTCTCTCTCATTGAGTTTATTGGTACATTTTAGGTATACAGTACAGTTATATTCATTATTGGGATCTTGTACCTCTACATGACAGGTCTTGGTTCTCATTTTTTACTACTTTAATTTCTAATGCAGTAGTTAAAGTAAATTTTCATTTTATTTTTATAAGGTATGTGAATGGCCATGCGAAAAAACATTATGAAGATGCACAAATACCCTTAACCAACCATAAGAAATCAGAAAAGCAAGACAAACCTCAGCATACAGTGTGTATGGATTGCAGTAGCTACAGCACATACTGGTAAGTTAGTTATTTTCTGTGTGTGAGTGAGTACGTGCTCATCTTCCTTGCCTTTTCCCCTTTCAATCAGCTATTACTGCTGTCACTTCCTTTTGATGCAGTTAGGATTCACAGGGGCTGGGACCATCGGAGACATCCACCCTTTACTCACTTTCTTTGTTCCTTTCAACTTCTAGGCCTCTCTTTTGGCCCTTACCTCTTGTCAATCCCAATAGACTTTAGGGAAATGAAAAATGGCTATTTGTTATTGTTCACCATAAATTTTCTTTTTCTCGTGGTATACTTTAAATTGAAGAAGAAGAATAATCCATGTTAAAAAACCAACCAACTAATCATGTCCCTACTGTCCAGTTAACATTTTGTCATGTACTATTAAAACTTTTAATTTCTTTGTTTGAAAGTTGTTTTGATATTCTTCCTTCTCATGGCAGTTCTGTTCTTTTCTAATCCCTGAGAGGTAAATGTCAAAAATTTGGTATATTTCAGTGTAAAAAGTGGTTAGAGGCCCTATTTTTTTGGTATTATAATCCACATGTCCATTCTATATGGATGACAGAATGTAGGGTATTTTTCTGTGACTGCTTAGAATGTGCTATTTATTTATTTATTTATTTATTTTTTGGTTCCGGGGATCAAACTTGGGTCCTTGCACTTGCAAGGCAGGCGGCAGAACCACTGAGCTAAATCCCTGACCCATAATGTGTTATTTATATTACAAGTGCTATTTAAAAATTTATATCCATTTGATATGTCTAAAAAGTATAATTTGCAATTTTAACTTTGGTGTTCGACAGATTTATTACTTAACTAACAATGTTTGGAAGTTTGTTTTGTTTTGTTTTTTTATCAGTTTACCCTATATTCTAAAGATTGTTGACATTGAAGGGGATAAAAAGAGGCTACTTAAAAGATCTGTTTAGAGCTATTTTTCTTGAATGTCACAGGAAGGCAGTACTGGACAGAGATGGGGATTTAAAGTCTAGATACCAGTTTGAGTTGTGCTTTCTACTCAAGTGGTGTGCTAACCCTTCTCTACATAGCCCTTTGTTGATAATTGAGAAAGGTGCCCATCAAGAAGAAGAGAGATTAGTGGTTTTCCAGGTCTTTAAATTTTTGTATGCTTGACATTGTTAAATTTTGGCTATGGAACAAATGTCTTAAAAGTTTAATCATTCAGACAACTCTTTCTGATCTTTGTGTGGTAAGTGGCTAGACTAAGAAGAGAGAACAGCTACTCTAGAGGTTGATAAAGATTTCAATAAAAATGAAAGTCTTCCTAAGATTTTCATACGAGGACTAACTCCCAGTTTATCGTGATTTGCTGCTGTAGAACACCTTTCTACCAGAGCTAAACAGGCTGTTAAGGTGTTTTCATTAGTGTTTTTCCTCTTTTCTTTAGGAAACTTACATATTAGAATGACACAGCTGCCTGATTTACAGAACTTTTTGTTTATGTTTGTCTCTTTGCTTTCATGACAGCAAAAATTTAGATCATTCTGTTTTTTATTTAACTGATATTTCATTACTCTTTTTTTTTTTTTTTTTTTTTTTTT